AGGACACATCCTCAGAAAAAGGATGAACTGAAAAAAAAAATCTGTCCACTATCAAAGAAAGAGACAGGCAAGTTTGTTTTGGCCTAATCAAAGACGAAGAGGTTATTAGTGAACTGGAAGATAGAACTAAAGAAATGACCCCAAATTGGCACAGAGAGATATAAACAAAATAGAGAGTTAAACATATAAAGAACAGGATAAAATGGTTTAATATATGTCTAATAGGAATTCTAGAAGGAGAATCAAGAAAGATCAGAAACAAGACAGATGTCAAAGAGATAATGATACATAGTTATTCAGAATTTATGAAAATAATCAATCCTTAGGTTTAGAAAAAACAATGAATCCCAAGCAGGAAATATAAAGCAAAACACACACATAAACATGTTCTATTGAAACTTCAGAATTCCAAAGACAAAAGGGATCTTAAAATCAACCAGTGAGAAAATACAGATTATCTATAGAAAGGAACAACAACTAGACTGGCAGCTGACTTCTCAAAAACAGAGCTAAAGCAAGAATATAGGGGAATAATAACGTTAACATTATGAGATAAAATAACTATCAATCTGTAACATCCAACTGAAGTATTATTCAAAAATGAGGGCAAAGTAAAAACATTTTCAGGAAAACAAACATCAAACTGAGAGTTACAACCAAGTAGCACCCACTGAAGGGATTTCTAAAGGGTGTACTGTAGTATGAAGGAGAATGAACCAAAGTGAAACACTGGAATGCAAGAAGAAAAGTGAACAAAAAATTGGCAATCATGTTAATAAATCTAAACAAGCATTGCCTATGTGAACCAATTATAATATTGACTAACGTGGTAAATAAGTAAGGTGGAACTCAAATAGTGGATAACAATAATAGGAAATCAGGAAATCAGGAGAGATTTATTGGAGTTAAAGTGTTTTAAGGTCATTTTGGAAAGGGAGTAGAAAGACTAATTTCAAACTTTAAGTCAAAAATACTAAAGGGATGTCTACAAAAATAAAAATAAAGTATATAACTTCCAAGCCAAGGAAAAAATAAATTAACTTGCATCAAAGGAAAAGAAAGCAGGAAAGGAGGGAGGGAAAATAAGTATAGAAAAGGCAGGGTAGAGAGAAAGACTAAAATAAAATGTTCAAATTAAATTCAATAAATCAGTAATAATAATAAAAAATGTAAATGGACTAAACTCACTAGTTAAAAGAAAAAGATCTCACATTAGATTAAGAACAAACAAACAAATCCAGCTATATGCTATTATAAGAGAAACACAATAAAAATACAGGAAGGTTGATGGCAAAAGGAAGTAAAAAGATAAACCAAGTCAATATTAACCAAAGAAATGTAGTATAGCTATATTAAAGTCAGAAAAAATAAATTTTAAAGCAAAGAGTATTATTAGGAATAAAGAGAGTTCCCAAGAAGTTATTAAAAAAAAAAAAAAGTCACCAGGAAGATACAATTCTACACTTGCATGAATCTAATAACACAGATTGGCCTCAAAATACATAATGCAAAAATTGACAGACTTACTAGAGTATTCAAGCTCATAATCATAAAATGAGATTTTTAATACCCCTCTGATAAAGTAAGATCCTTTATGGCTTTTATTTATCTCCCTGTCAACATTCTTCTCTAGAGTGTAATCTAAAATGTATAATCTTTTTTGTCTACTTTATTCATAGATATATTTTAAGTACACAGAGCAGTACCTGTGACATAACAGTTGCCTAATATATATTTGTTCAGTGTTTGAATTAATCAAGATGAAAATGATAGTAACTATACAGATTAGATAATACAATTAACAAGCATAATCCAATGGATTCTCATGGAACCCTGAACTCCCAAATTAGAACATTCTTCTCAGTAATAAATGGAATATTTTTGAAAATTTACCATGTGCTGGTCCATATTCTCTGATTATAATACAATTACCTTAAAAATTAATAAAAACAAAACAATAAAATTCCATGCAGTATAAAATGTGAAACACACTTCTAAACAACTCAAAGAAGCAATCATAATGAAGATTATGAAAACAGAAGATTGAAGGAAATTGAACTTAATGATAATAAAAATATTACATTTCAAAATTTGTGGTAAGCAGCTAAAGACTACCTAGAGGAAAATCTATAGATTTATATGCATATATAAGAAAAAGAAAGGAGAAAAATTGATGAGCTATACATCTAAATTAAGAAGTTAAAAAAAAAAAAGACCAACAAAATAAACACAAAGAAAATATAAGGAAGGAAATAATGGGAAGAGAGACTATTGAAATAGAAAAAATATACACAATAGAGGATCAAAAGTCAAAAGCTGGTTGTCTGAAAATAGATAAAATTTTGGCAAGAGTGATTATGGAAAAAAGATAAGGCTTACTATTAGAAATAAAAAGGGGTCAAATTTCAGATACAGCAGGGTTTTGAAAAAACAGAACATTAAGAAATACTTGATGCTAGTATATTTAAAAATGAACAGAATGGACAATTTTCTAGAAAAAATATAATTTTTCCAAACTGATTCATGGAAAAAAAGAGAAAACATGAACAAATCTATGGTCATTAAATACATTAAGTCACTAGTTAAAAGTCTACTTACCAAAACTGCCCACTAGGGTCAGATGATTTTACGAGTGAGTTCTACCAAACAACCAATTAACAGTTAATCCCTATCTTATACAAAGAGTTCCAAAGAACAATAAGGATTTATTCCCAGTTCAATTATAAAGCTAACAGAACCTTGGTATGGAAACCAGGCAGGGACAGTACAGAAAAGGACATTTATGGCCAATCTCACTTATGAACACAGATGCAGAAGTCTAAATAAAATGCTAGCAAACTTAAGCCAGGAATGCATAATAAATAATACATCACGACTTAACTAGGTTTAATCCCAGAATATCAAGGATGGTTTAACATTAGAAGATCTATTAATACATTTTACCACATGACCAGATTAAAGAATAAAAATCATACAGTCTTCTCTGTAGAGGCAGAAAAAGCACTTGATAAAATTCAATGCCCATCCATGATTAAAAACAGAAACAGAAACCTTAGTAACTAAGAAAACAAGGGTCTTCTCTACCTGATATCAGCTACCTATCAAAGACTACTTAACTGTAAAATTTTGAAATAATTCTCCTTAAAATCAGAAATAAGACAAGGATCCTTTGTTGTATTTGACATTGTACTGGAGGTCCTAGCCGGTACAAAAATAATTGAAAATAATCAAGATTTCAACGGAAAAGACAATGGAGCATGTGCCTGTAGATGGGACATCCTTGTACTCAAAGAGGTCTCTGAGAAGTGGTTGAAGAGTTCAATACCTTCTGAGAACTCTAGGATTCCAGAATACCTAGAGTTTAGAAGTCCAGAGTTTTCTTATTTTTGCAACTTGCTCTTTGTAAAATCCACAGTTTGTATTTCATCTAAAAAGATGCTCTACCATTCACTGATTTTTCACTTTGTACCAAGCCCTTTTATACCCTGAGGTTTCCAAGTTGACCAAGGACTCAAATTTACTTGGACCTCTTATGTGACAGTCACACTTCACACTCTGCATCCCAGCAAGAAGACTGAGCACACCTCGGAAGATTCCTTCAGGACCTCTCAATTCTCCCCTGCTCTGAGGAAGGTATGTAAACAGTACTGAGGGTGGCCTAGTACCAGGACACACTACTGCTCCCTCCAGGAAATTCTTTCATCCTTCATCATTTTCAGCATCTTTTTAGCCAGCTACTCTCAAATAATACTAATCTATAAAAAAAAATCCCATCTCAATGTCTGGTACGGGAGTTGTATTTAATTTTCTTTCCCCTTGATTCTTTAAATGCCTTGCTCTTGTGGTTTTTCTGAGTATTTTCGTATTATGAGTCACTCAGAGTAACTGCCTGGGAATGTAGGAAGAAGGTGTTTTTTTGCTATTTTGATTTACTGTGTGATTGACCCTGGGCCAGTCATTGAACCTAATCAAGGAACTTCATTCATTGCTAAATAAAGATAAAATGCCTGGCGAAATGGGTTAAAATTAGACCTCGCCACCTAATGACTCAGTCTCTTAATAACTGACTCATAGAAATTAATTAGCTCTTTCCTACAACATTTCCATTTGGAAAAGATCTCTTTTATTATCCTTGCCTAGTTGTAGCGCTTTTACATCTCTCTGTCCTCTGTTACCTCTCCATTTATTTATTTAACTTTACTGCTCCGTTTCGGTCAACAACCACAGCCCTCCATGATAATCGGACCCAAATTAAGTTTTGATGCTGTAGGTGAGCAGCACTAAAAATAAAGAAAGAAAGAAAACAAAAAGAACTATAAGTGGAAGGAAAAGTGGACTTAGACACAGAAGTCTTGATTCAGGGTTATGCTCTCCATGTGCTAATTTTGTGATCTTGAGAAAGTCAGTTAACTTCTCTGAGCTGCACTTCTAATTTATAAATTGTAACCACACGACACTGTCTTTCTACGTCATGAGTGATTGTTACAAAATCCAGGCAATGAACACGGACAGTGCTGTGAAAAACTGTAAAGTACTATGTATTTGTATTTACATTAACTGAATAATTCTATTCACTGATGCAAGAATTTAGTCTACGAGACCTACATGAGAAGGTCTTACGTGATATCCGTCCATGCTAGACAGATACTATTAAAAATTATAACTGAGTAATTTGTAAATATGTAAACAATAAAGTCAGGACAAGGGAGGTTTTACAGTAATAAAATGTGGTTTAAGAATGGAAGCAGCATGATTTTGGTGTCTACTGGAAAAGCAGGGAATAAACTAATTAATACTTGAAGATCCTTCTTATTTTAAGTTTTAATCTTTTGAATCCATAAACTATGGTGGATGCCAAAAATACAAAATAAATGAAAGGCAAACTGAAGAGTTGATAAATTTCAAGATGGGACCAAAGGAACTATTGCAAATATTATCTCTGGATTATTTAGAAATTCAAGGGAAAAAATCTGAAGACAGAAGCTGCTTCATTTTCTCACCTTTGTTCTGTATTAAAGAGTGCAAAGATGTGCTTGCTAGACATAAAGCTCTTTTCCACATCTCGAACTTTCAGGTTGTCCAAGGGAAGCATATACTTCTTTTCTTTTTCCTATTAAGAGAAAGAGAGAATTGGTTTTAATAAAAGATCTTGAAGCATGCCAATGGCAACATATCACCTGAGTTGGCCAATCCTTGATTACAGTATTTTGAATACCATCACACTCTATTTTGATACCAGCTACCAAGGAGTAAAAGTTGTCTGAGAGAGGAGACTCCAGTGATTCTCAACACGTGGTGGGAAGAATGAGGGAGTGCAAGTGTAGAGGAAGGCAGGGCTCGGCGATGAAGAAAACACATGGTCCTCTATCCTTTCTTCCTCATGTGGGTCCCCTTAGATGTTTTAAAATGTTAGTTTGATATTAAGAATTTAGCCATCTGTTAATATTTAACAAAAATGTTCTGGTCCTAATTCAATGAGAAATGCCAGATGGATTTCATTTCATATTTTGTTTGCAGCCGAAGCAGTTTTGATAGCCAGTACTGGCAGGGGACTGAAAGCACAAGACCCCAGTATGAATTAGCCCTACAAACCATGGTAAAGCACAGAAAATACTTCCTCCATTTGGGTCTAGAATAAAATGTGGGTCCAGGAAAAAAATGATTCCATTAAATTGTGCAGCACTTTGAGAATAAAAGAACCTATTAGAAGTGGACTGATATTAACTAGAACAAATTATCTTTTAAAATTTACAATTCTTTAGGAAGAAAATGGACATTAGAGAGGGAAGGTCTGCAAATGGGACCAAACTGGTCTTAGTAAAATATAGTGAATGCCAAAGAATTATTAGAAATGTTTACTTTTGGGGACTGGCCCAGGGGCAATATTATCGTATGTATAAATGCTTAACAGCCAGTATCATTGGAGAGAGCCAAACACTCAGTCACCGTCTACTACCAGGGGCATTTTAGCACAGTCCCTGTTAAACAGTAGTCCCCTGTATGGTCCCGGCCTATATCTGCAGTGCTAGTCCTGAGAAAAAGCAGGACTAGACTCCAGAGGAGGGAAGGATGGAGACTTAGCCATGACCTTTAATAAACAACTATTAATGTATTTCCTCTGGGAAATACATGCACCATACAGATATGTTGGACACAAGCATTTTTGTTCCTGAAGTTCCTACAGCAGCCTGTTGAGAACTTGTGGCTAGGCTCGATAGTGTGGAGCAGAACTCCTGCGCTCCCTAGCCAGCTTGTGGCGGCCATGTTGTCTGCAGACCCCAGAGAGAGTTACTGCAGGGAGTATCAGTGGCTTTGCCACTTCTTACTCCTAAATTAATCAAGGCAAGTTGGGCAGAGCACATCAGAATAACGAGGCAGAGAGAAATAGATGACTAAAGAAGTTGGAGGAAGCTAGTCGGAGAAGAAAATGGCTGTCCTGGCAGACAATGTCTTCAAAGAAGATTAAAAAAACACAAAAGAAACTAAATGGGAGTGAGAGAAGCCTAAAAATAAGCATGAAAAGCAAAGCACTGCAAGAAGATTCCAGTATTTCTTGTACCAAAATTAATATATTAGCAAACACAAGGATATTCCAAATAGCAAAATAAATAATTTAAGTCAATGAAATATCATAGTTGAGTCTAACCTCTTTGAAACACTTGTCAAACTATTTTAGGACAGAATTCTAAGAGGCAAGATCGTAGATCGAATAAAAAGCTATCCAATAGATAATCAAATGAAAATGCTTGAGACCCAGGGAAAATTCTTTATTGGACATTTTTCAATGCCCTAAATTTAAGCAGCTGGATTTTTTTTAATGCACCATCCTATTCAACCTTTGAAATGGTGGATTCGCCTTTTAATGGGAAATCTGCATTTCATTGTAAAGATGGAACACAATGTCCTTGGCGTGTTTTCTATAGAAGTAGGCTCCCTTTTGTGCTGCATTCTTTAGCGTACAGTGAAGACCGAAAATCCAGCAAGTTTACGTCAGATACTAAACACTGGAGAAATACACACATATGCAGAGAGAGGAACATGAAAAATGTAGTTTCATTTCCAAAGTACTAAATGTCATTTACCTAAGGTTTTTGAGGACATATTGCTAAATTATTTCATAATCAAGAGTTTTAAGACTGACAAAGGGAGAAGAAAAAGATTTGGACTAATTTATTTAATTAAAATTGTAAGTCAAATGGAGAATTAAATGAGAGAGCAATGAAACAGTGTATCATGGATATTTCTAAAATTCTTGGTGCTTTTGGGAAAGAATGATGGTCTGCTAAAACAACATCTTGAATATGAAATAGCTAAAATAAACAACAGGAGTAGAGGAGGAGAAAGGATAAACTGAATTATAATTTCCAAAATCCAGTGAGTCTTAACACCAGCTTACTTGAGACATTTGCTACAAAATCTTTGTTGGTTCTATTAAACTGTCAAATAATGCACTGTCCAATATGGCAGCCACCAGCCACAGGTGAGCACTTGAAATGTAGCTAGTTAAACTGCAATGTGCTCTACGTGTTAAATACACCCCAGATTTCAAAGACTTAGTATGAGAAAAAGAAGGTTAACTATCTCGCTAATACTTTCATATTGATTATATGTTGAAATGATAATATTTTGAATATATTGGAGTAAAGTATTACTAAACATGATTTCATCTGTTTATTTTTACTGTTTTGAATGTGGCTGCTAGACAATTTAAAATGACATATGTGGCTCATATTAGCTTTCTATTGACAGTGCTGAGCCCCGTGTACTTATCATCACTTTCTTTCCTCTCGTCTATACAATTTTTTCTCTTTTGACCTCCCTGTTTCTGCCGTCAGGTGTATTTTTCATTCTCCCAGTCACCCAATCTGAAACTTCACTATCTTTTCTGATGTATTGTCTTCCTTCTCCTCCTTTATTACATCAAGACTATGTTGCATTGTGTTTGAAGCATTTGTCAGAGCTCCCCTCATTGGGCATTCCCACTACATTAATCCAAGTCCCTGGCATGTCCCAAGCATGTGGTTATAAATGGCCTCCTATCTAGTTTCCTTGCCTTCTAATTCCTCTAAGATCACCAGGAAGGCAATTTTCTAGCTCTACTCTGTCAAATTCATTCCAGTACTTCAAAACTTTCATAGCTCTCCATTATTTATGGAAGAAAAATCCATGCAACTCCTCAATGTGACATTGAAAAACACCTACAAATTGGTCCAATCCTGATTTGTCAATATATCCTTACTCTTCCATAAGAAGCCTCCACTTCAACAAAATACGCCTTTGCCAAGTCTTTTCCCAACTTGAGATAGCCTTTCAATTTCTTCCTACCACATCAGTTTATTATTTAGAATCCAGCTCAAATTCTATCTTCTGTGCAAAAAATTTTCCCAAGTTTATAACTGTCTGTCTCTCTGTCACTCCTGCATCTCTCTCTTTTCAATTCATACAATAGGTATTGTTTACTGTATTCATTTTGAATTATACCTTTTTTGAGACATCCTCGTCTTGTAAATGCATTACATTCAAAAATTTCTGTGAAGGGTGTTCATTTGGAACTCAGAACGTTCTGTCAATTCTATTGTTCAAATAGGTTACATTTGCAAAGAAAAACAAAAATGTAGAGAATGTTTTTCACAATATTTGTAAGTAAACAGGAAATAAAATTTGATATTTTAAAATTTTGTCTTAAATAGGCATTTTGGAGGAAGCACTTGTAAAATTCTAAAGAAAATTTTTTTAATGAAGATTCAGAAAGGAACTTCTGCATATTTTCAAAAGCTTCAGAAGCTGATGTCACTGATTCAACATCATTCTTTTCTTCACTTTTAAACGTAGTACCTTTAAACATAGTACCTCAATATGAGACAGTTACCAGCACTATTTGTATGGGAGGCATCCAGATGACAGGCATTCTTTGTTTAAAGAGAGAGGGAACATGAGAGAGTTAATGTTCTTTCCTTGCAGTAACTTGGCAAGAGTGAGAAGAAAGAGGAGAAATAGGATAGGCCAAAAAAGGATGCATCTAATATGGGAAAGACTGTGCTCTGAGGTGGAAGTAACTGAACTCTGAGTGGTAAAAGGTAAAAGAGGTTTCAAAGTGGAGGGAGGTGGGAATTATGGTACGGCCACCGTATGTGTTCATCAACCTTGAAAGGAAAGAAAAGGATCAGTGAGGGACAGATGTGGGGTTGGCAAGTGCCCAACAATGGCCTCTAGCTGGCAGAGCACCAGCAATATAACTTGGCTGCTGGAAGGAGCTACAGTGGGTATGAGGAGAGGGTTTGGTGTGTCCAGCAACAGCTCCTGCATATGCAAAGGACTGAAAAGTCTTTAAACACTTGGTGATTTACACGTAGGGAGTTTCATAACTTGAGAAATGTTTGAGTGGCATTGCTTTGATGACTACATTGAATCATTTTATTTGTACATACCTTTTCTCACTAATAAGGCAACAAAATCTTCAAGGATAAGACCATAAGTCCTTCCCTATTTCTATATATTATAATGCCTAGCATAGTGTTGGTCATTGAAATTTACATAGCATATATTATAAATGTTTGTTGAATTGATTTGAGAATGGCTGATAACCAAAGCCAAATGTTGAGTAAGATAATTGATAGTCACATATATTTGAGAACTAAATAAAAATTCTATGGGAAAAAAACCCCTGTATAAGATGCTTAACTGATTGGCATTCCTTCTGATCATTCAACTTTTACAAAGTTTAGACTGACTGCCATGTTTATTTCTATCTCTGCCTTTGTTTGTATTGCTTCTCCTTGCTAGGAATGCCTTCTTCCCTGCAAAAAGGCAAATACTAGTGGACTTGAATGTCCACTATTACGTCAAGTGCCACCTCTTCCATGAAGCCTACTCTGATTATGGCACATCATAGACCTCTTTCTTTTATAGCTCTCAAATTTTCCATAATTTTTGCCATAGGCTATATAGGATGCCATTTCTTATGTATGTTTACTTTGCCTCTTTAAGTAGATTGGAAGCTCCCTGAGGGGAAGAATTGTGTTATAATTTTTTTGTTTACGCTTAACAGTTATTACATTGTTACATATACAGACTTTGCTTAACAAACATTTGATTGTTGATGATGCATCA